CCTCCAAGGTTTAGGGGACTAAACATTTTTTTAGCCAAGTTACCCTTTAAGTTTAATTTGGCTCTCTATTATTCATAATGCCTTCCCAGCGTTAACTGTTTGCTCATTCACGTTACAAACCCTGAGCCCAGCAGAGATTTAATTCAATACATCAAACACTTACTGAGAGGTTTCTAAAGGTCAAGCCTAATACTAGACCCTGGGGACATAAAAACACAAAACAAAACAAAACATGTTTTCATAATAAATGTATGTCAGCATTTACACACATAATCATAGAAAAAGAGAACTAGGTTAATAATAACCGACAAGTTTACTAGTGGTTATGTCTGGATGGTGGGATAATGAAATAATTTCCACTTCCTCTTTTCTATTTTTCTGAATCCAAACCTTTTTAATATGAGGATACGTTACTCTCATAACTATTAAAAAACAAAAATAAACACTAAAGCTCCTTCTATGGGACAAGATGAAAGGGAAATCAAGACAGCCTCACTGTGTATTTGTTCTACTTCACAAATGCATTTTTACCATAATAAAACAAAAATTTGTTTTCTTCTAAAAAAAGGGCGCGATTATTATTATCAGAAACAATTCTGAGCATCTGAGATCTTATCTGACAACGACTGTGACCTGACCAATCATATTAAGTGGTCAAAATCTATTTCTCAGGTAAGTAGTCACTAGGCCATAAAAAAAGTCCTTGAGTTTAAAAATACTATTTGTAATGTTAGATAATTTAGAGGCTCCAAAGCTCACTGGGGAATAATAAATGCCACTTGTGAACTAGAAATAAAAAGGTTTCATTCAAAGAAGTAGAGAAAATGGATCACTGGAACTCATGCATTTAATTTCATTTGTTAGTTTTGTTTTGTTTCAGTAGATACAAGTGAAAAATGAGTTTCTGCAATATGCCTTGGATACTTAAACTTATGTTAGAAGTCTGGGTAAATATAATGATACTCAAAGAAATAAACTGAAAACCACAAAACAAACATTTATAACCAAATGCTCAACCGCAGTAGTACCAATGAACTTCCTCTCTAAGGAGCCCGGATTAGTAGCTGCAAATTCAAGTTAAAAAGTGTGAATCACTCACTTGTAAATCACCTTTAAGGTTACGTTTATCAGGAAGATTTGTTTATGCTACTCATATATATAATTGCCACTCATAAATTTCAATCAATAACGATCGCCCATTTCAAAAGTCACTAAAATCTCAGACAGTTAACCAGCTCCAGATTGTTCCAAAAATAATTTTCTCCACTCTTAAAATGATAATAAAAATGCAATGCTGGTTTTGGAGGAGGAGTAAAAGGGAGAATGGGGTTTCTACATAAGTTAAGGAAACTGTGTGCTGTCTCTTTCAACCTCCAACCTACAGCCCTTTACTTTCCCTTTACTTACACTTTCCATCTGTCAACAAGTGCTTGTAATTTTATTACAGTGTCCTGTAGTTTATGCAGAGTTGGTATTATTTTACAGAGTTCTGTTAATGGACTGGATAAATGGTAATGCTATTTAAACTAGTCTCCTGCTCCAACAAACACAGCTGCAACTGTACTACTATTTCTGAGCAAACATCTTGACCTGAACATGTAGTGCTTTCTCAACCCGTCCAAGGAGAAATTGGAGCAGACAGCAAAGGAAAAGCATATTTGGCCGCTAGCAGCAATCAACCGTGTCAAATCATAATTCATATACAGTGTACCCTCTTTTTCTTTTATATTGCATTTAGAGTCCAAAAAAAGCATGTGTGCTTCTTCACCCAGCATCTCATTTTCAGCCAGGAGTCAAATGGTGATTATTCGTTAAAAAGTGCTAAGAAAATCTGCATAATGTCCAGTACATCGGACTAATTTTAATCTAAGTAAATAATGATAAAAATCAGACATCAGTATAGTATGAGCTACCCATTAAATAATCTAGTAAACTTCTTCACTGGTTATATACTAGGATAACAAGTATTAAATAAGGTTAAAATATTAACTGATACAGTAAGTTAGAAAAAGAAACAGATACTAATGAGAATTATGCAACAACTGATAAAGAGAAAATGAATTATAAATTTGTTTCACGAATTCTAGATGTGTCTGTCTCTACTACATTATCTAGCAGGGCAATTATGGATTGCTTAATTTGTATATGCAACAACCAGCCAAATACCTTCCCTGCCCCAACATATTTTCTTTATTATTTATCAGAAGTCCTTTGTTCTGTCACTTAGCCTTCTTGTGAAAGATTCATTTTTCCTTTTTTTAAATTTTTTTTTAAAGATTTTATTTATTTATTTGTCAGAGAGAGAGAGCATAAGCAGGGGGAGTGGCAGGCAGAGGGAGAAGCAGACTCCCCACTGAGCAAGGAACCCGATGCCGGACTTGATCCCAGGACCTTGGGATCATGACCGGAGCCAAAGGCAGCCGCTTAACCGACTGAGCCACGCAGGCATCCCAGAAAGATTCATTTTTCAATGAACATTTTAGAAGACATTTTTGTAGATTTATGCACATTTTTCCATCTGTTAGAACATTTGTTTCGGGTGAACTACTAGGCACCCATATCACATGAAGAAAAATCTGAACTTGAATCCTTCCTCAGGCAGTTAGGCTCACAAGCTTTTGTTCCTTTATTTATTAAACACATTTAATGGTGGTTTTTTAATCCAATTAATTAATCCAATTAATCATAAAAAAGTGGTCACATGTAGTTTATAACTTATCCTCTCAAGAGAAGTATCATTGGTAACAATTCACTAAATCTAATTCAGGTGGGACAACAGTGCCTCAACTCAAGAGAAGATTCCTGACGTGAGGATGCAGAAAAAAATTACCCCACTGTGTTTCACATGTATTTAGTGCTTATGTCAGGTGTTAATTCCCAGTCAATATTAACATTAAGCCATCAATCTGTAACTTTGGGAACATCAAAGCATTCGAGTCCCTCTTGCCACTAACCCTAAGAAATAAAATTTATCTTCCAAAACTACCCAGAGGAAATCATTTGAGCCAAACAGGTAAATCATAACTCTGAATGCATTTTCTAGCTGCCCATTTTCCCATTTTTTTACATGCTTTTAATTAACTAGAAAATATTGCCTGAGAGTTTTATGGGTTCCATTTCTTTAATTTACTTCTTGAAGATGTCAGTTCTCTTTTCACACAGTGGCTTCCTAAAGTTACAAAATCACAACAAAATAAAAGAGGAAATCTGTTGGTCCACTATGTGATATTGTCTAAGAAGAAAAAATGGTCAACAGACTATAATTTGCTGATAAGAGAATTCTGCACTGGATTACACCACCTGAAGCCTCCTAAGAAAATTAATCCAAGTACTTCTAGACCAAAAATCACATATTCTTGTTCCTCAGAGACAGTGTAGAAGTTAATTTTCCCTTCTTTAGTGTAATACTTTTAATTGTAGATGACAGTCATTCATTTAAGTTATATTTTCATAGCTACATAGAAAATGGAAAATTACCTAAACTGGTGTGGATTGCTTTTATATGGACACTATTAGCAAAGTGGTAGTTTCATATGCCTCATTGTACACTAGGCTTCAGTCTCCTCAATCACAAAAACTTAAAGCACAAAGTAGAATGACTCTTAAAACCATCTCTGTGGTCCTTCTTGGAAACTAAGCAGAAATATTTAAATATAAGTATCAACTTACATACATACATATAATCTTTATAATAGCCTAGATCCTATTTCCTTGGTCAAAATAGTCCTTACAGAATTCTTACTTAAAGTCAATCTTCAGGTTTCTTTTTTTTTTGATTTTTTTTTTTTTTTTAATTTACTTAAATTGAGCCAGTTAACCAGCAGGGAGCACAAGAAGAAATCCTGCCAGGTGACTTTGGCTATCCTTAGAGGAACGGTACCAGGAAGGTCAAACTCTAGAGAGGAGATGGCGTGTGTTAGCTGGCTGCACATTTGCCCACTGGGACGGTTCTGTCTATAGTGAGCTAAGGCATCAGGAGGACCTAACAAAGATCCTGGCCACAAGGCAGGGAGGGCTCTGAGAGGACAGTCCTCCTCTTTCTGGAACTGATAACAACAATATTGAGCTAACAGGCTACGATGAAGCCAAGTTCGGAAGAAAGCAATGTACTCACTTTCCCTACAGACATGAAGCTACAGGACATCCCCATCGTCCCTGCGGGAGCCATGCTGAGCAATTTATTCTGTATGTCCCAACAGTTTTGTCACAACGTCCACGAATGTCAATAATCATTGTTATTTATTTTTCCAACACGTTGTAGCTTATCTCCCATCTGCACAAAATCATTCATATGGTGGAAAATCTCATTTTAAAAGCTTTTGAAAATGTGTTTACACTATTACATATTAGGTCAGAGAACAAGCATTCCAGGGGGGACAACTAATTCTGCCTAAAACCCACATTATGCTCCTTCCAAAGAAGTACTTCCATTAACAGTCTAGGACGTATTTGTTGGGAAACCTTTACAGTCACTCCTATTGCAGAGTTTGGAACTCCGGCTTTAAAGGCAACATTTAAGAGGAAATTTACAGCCCTCTTTAAATACTTTATAATAATATTTCCAGACTAATAAACACCACCCCAGTACAGAAACAATGTCAAGAAAGCTGACATTAAGAACCCTAACTTTACAAGAAAACACCATCAACTTCCTCTGAAGAGGAAGTACAGTGGCAATTTTCCCCTTCAGAACTTAATCAGAAGTTTCTGTAAAAAAATATGGTAAATCTCCTCATTATCACATAACCCAGAAAGAATAATACAATTACAATGACACATACATAAACCACTAAATGCTAACCAAATAAAACAATGGGAACCACTGGAAAACCAATCATAAATTTCCATAAGACAAAAAAAAAAAAAACTAGGCAAACTTTTAATCCATTAATCTATCGGTGAATAGATTCCAGAAAAGCCCAAGGAAACAGATCCAGAATACATTTAATAAAATACAAGGTACTACCCAAAGCAACAATAACTATTTCTGTCTTACTTACAGCCTATACAGCTTTGAAGTTCCAAGAAACAGCAACTCAGGAAACAGCTGAAGGTGATTTCTGTTTAAACGCCTTTGGAGAAAAACAAAAACAAAGCGTATGTTACACAGAAAATACCCAACAATGAGTCTGCGATTTGGTCGTGTCATGCCTCATCCTGTATTTCGGGAAAGAAAGAAATGACATTCAAAAGAATTCAAGCATTGCAAATCAAAAGTTGGTTACACCTTTTGTTACCTGACTCTTTAAAGCAATTTTCCATTACGCTTACTCAGATGATTCCCCGGGGCCTAAACCCTAACCTCCTGTCCTGTGCAACATCAGTCATCCAGAATATACACAATGAAAAAGGATGTCTTCACTAGACTCTGGTGTCTAGGTCAGGCCAGTGCTGTACACAGTAAACGGTGCCCTAAAATAATTCACACGCTGTGCCGGATGACCTAAATTTTCAGCCAAGGCATAGTGGGGAAGATGGAAATTTTAATTTTGTTAGCATCTTGCTTAGTTGTGGGAAAAAAGTGTGAGAAAGTGTCAGCACGATTTGTCCCTATGGGCGAAAGCAGAGAAAAACTGCAAACTCCAAACCTAAACCCACAGTTCTTGACCCTTCACTGAAAATAAGGCTAGGTTATAACCAATCGTGGCGGCTAAAAATGTTTAGATAATGCTTTTTTAAATGTTTACCTGATGTGAAGTTAAATGTAGAGTTTAGGGAAAAAAAAAACGTGATTGCAACCCTAACTCGATTAAGCCGTGATGCCATGTAAGTAAGTTCTTCTGGAGTATGCATGCTTGTTTAACAGTGGGTAGATTCTGGCGCCGATGTACTAATCTCCCAACCCCATTCATTTTAAGTGGACAATTTAATATTTCAGTAAAAATAAATGACCATCTCTCTGCTTTTCCCAAATTTGAATAAAATAATGACAAGCTGGTGCAAAAATGTACATTTAAGTGATTTACAGGGCACTATAGCTGGAGATGGAGAGTAAGAAAGTCCAGAAAACTAATGTCACTTTGAGGAAACTACAGGTATTTCTTGAGTCTTAAGTATAAATGTTAAGAGGACAGGAAAAGAAGACATATCAATCTTGACATACATAAACGGTCACCAGATAGGAGCAAAATTACACTTATTTAATATGCAGAGGGCAGAAATGGCACTAGTGATTATAAAACTCTTTAAAAAAGTAGATGATAAGGGAGACCTTTCTAAGAATTAGAGAATTTCCAAGGATTAGAAGAAATGGAATGAACTGCCTTGAGAAACTCTAAACTCTTTATTCCACTTATATTCAAGCAGAGGCTTTCTGTTTTGTTTGTTTGGGTGTTTTTCCTGCAAAGGACATAATAAAAGAAATCCTGCATTAGGTGAAAAATTGCACCAGGTGAACTCCAGAACTTCTTCTAACTCCAAAATGCCATGAGGCAATGATGAAAACTGTAACTTTCACTACATAAACTCGTATTATGAAGAAGTTGATCACCTACAGAAACATTCTCAACACTTAATAAAATGCACACTCATAAAAAAGTATGCCAAGACAATTAGGGGGAAAATAATAAAATTAGTGGTGAAAGGGTGGAATTTCTTCCCACTTACACTAATTTTTTATAAATAAAGCATATAACAAGGTTAAATTTAAAGTGAAACCAAAAGCTATTACTCATTTATTTTTCTCTGCTGGGCATGGAGAAAGGAAGGAGTACTTCTGAGGAAGGAGTACTTCCAGAATCTACTATTATACAATTTTGATAAAATGCAACTTAATTATGACCTTGTTACATTTTTCTCTCAAAAAATCAACTACAAATATTCAATATTTGTAGCAATTAGAATTTTTCCAGGGAAGCAACTACTCTTGGAAAGACTCCCATTATTCAAAGAGCCAATCTCGATTTCTAAAATGGCAACATGGGCTATTGTAATCTCACCCAAACCACTGGACTAACAAATATCCTCCAGGATTCTCCAGCCACAACCAGGATGCTCCTTCAAGCCCCTAGTCCCTGCTGTTTCGGGAGCTTTCCTTTTTCAGATGGTACTTTCTTACATCTTATGTGAAGCTTCCCTGATTCCCCTACACAGAGGTAGTTCCTCCCTTGGCTCTATCCCCATACCACCATGGATTTGATAAATAAGGGCCCTTAACATTGTATTGCATTTATTCACATACCCGTCTGTTTCCCAGTAGACTGTAAGCTCTTCAAGTATAAAGACCAAATCTTTGTATCCTTTCCCTTATTCTCTGGCACTCAGTGGGTTCTTAGGAAATGCTAAATGAGAGCATACTTCTCTTTTTTGCATTTTGATATAGTTCAGCAAAACACTAGCATATGCATTTTATATTCAACCAACTTTCCTCTGGGTTGATTTCTGAGGTTCCTGCCTTAGTTTTTATGCCACTCTCTAGCTAACCAAAGCCCCACCACCAAACTTGCTTTCATGTGCCCTATACAGCAATTACCCCTTTTCCCTCCCATCAACCTCCCTCCCCCTGCTATCCTCAACATCATCTAGAAGTTGGAAGGAATCCAGTACGTCTAAACAAATTCAGAGATCCTGAGAAGTAGATATTTCAGATTGGGTACAAGCAATGTCTTTTTCTTAATTATTCCTTTCATATTCCCAGCCATTCTTAATTCACTCTAAGAGCAACAGCTAACATATACTAAGCTACTACATGATGATCACTGTTCTGAGAGGTTTGCATGAATTACCTCACTCATTCTTCAGAACCAACCCCAACAGTAGGTACTGTTGTTACTGCCATCCTGGAGAGTGGTATACAGCTCATAGAAAGTAGAGCTAAAACTGAATTCAGGTAGGGTGATTCGAGAACATATCCTCTGAATCACTTCTATCAAAGAGACACACACCAAACATTTCTAAAATTAATTCAAAATAATATAATACTGAAACTGTACTTCTCATCAATCTTTCCTTGGGAAAAACATAGCTTTATAGAGTCTATTTCTTTAATATCTATGAATGAACCACTTGAAAATAAAACAATTTTTTTTAAAAAAAACGAACTCGATATTCAACTCACTGTTTTAAAGTTCTGTTTAAAATGCCTGAAGTTTGAGAGAAAAATGAAAATGTGTATAAAATCATTTTCTCTGAATTCAGGTAATTTATCATTTCATGAAAATTATTGTGAATGATCTTAACATTGTCTAAACCAAACAGGAGCATAAGACAGGGTAGTATACTAGAAGGGCAGATAATAAGTGATGTGATAACATGCATAGAAAAATAGTACGAAGCTTTTTCCCCTATAAACGAGTATCAGTACACTTGGGGTTCCTGTTCTTTCTTCCATCAGTGCTAAGAATAAATGGAAATACAAACATTAAAATAAAAGGTGAAATTCTCCCAAAATATTCAATGAAGGGAAAAATTTTAAAGCAGGGATTTCTTGTAAAATGACCAGAAATTAAATTCTTAAGTTAAAGAGGAATTTTTTAAAATCCAGAATTATTTTAAAGACCACTAAGGTTCATAACAATTTCTAAACAGAGCTGGAAAATAAATAACCTAGCTAGCATCTTCGAATGACACAGAATACTTCTCAGTAGCTTGATGAGGACAGTGCCGTAATAATCCTCATGTAAATGAGTTAAAGAAACTAAAATCTGATGGTCCCAGAACAGAAAAACTGCATGTAGTGAACTAAATGTATCTCTGAGGAGGATTTATGGGAGCCAGCCTAAATTGGCTCCATTAAGCTGACTAGGTGGGTCATTTACCTATTGTTCAGAGCAAGGACACTCCATTGTGTCAAAGGAAAGACAGTCACATGTAGCCCTTGAGCCATCACCAGCTAGATGGAATCTGCCCACAAGATCTCAGGGCTAACTGAGATTCTCTGGATGGCAATTCAGAACTTCAGAAAGGTGTGTCAAGTGTATCTCAAAGACATTTTTTCTTAGGGCAAAGATGACAGGATCCCAATAACCATTTCCTCTGTGTTACAGCTATTTTTGAGCGTGACTTTCAGTGGGATGAAGGATCTTCCTGTGTCGCACAAAACACCACTAGCCTCTGAAATGCTGATTCGTAACCTCAGTGCAAAGGGCAGCCTAAGCATCATTGACAAGCATTGCTTTAAATGATCTGTCAGTGGCTTCTGTGTCTTGTCCATTGGTAAAAGTGACAGTCTCTTATTTTTTCAACTTTTACCTCAATTCAATGAGTATGTGCAGCCTTCAACCCAATGCAAAATGTAAAATGGAAACAATTTTTCCTGTTGTTGTGAATGTTAAGTATTTTAGCAGTGTGCCCAGTCTGTAATAAGCATTCAGTAAATACTGCCTTCATGGGCTTATCATGGACAAGCTCCTATTTGTCATACAAAAATGTTTTCTTGGGGCGCCTGGGTGGCTCAGTCGTTAAGCATCTGCCTTCCGCTCAGGTCATGATCCCAGGGTCCTGGGATGGAGTCCCGCATCAGGCTCCCTGCTCGGCGGGGAGCCTACTTCTCCTTCTCCCACTCCCCAAGCTTGTGTTCCTCCTCTCTATCTCTCTCTGTCAAATAAATAAATAAAATCTTTAAAAAAAATGCCTTCTTTTCAGGTAAACTTCTTGTTTTTTCAAATGTTTTTATTCTAACATTTTTAAGGCAAGGATTTTTAACATTTATGCATTATTTAGATGGATAAATCAAACTTTTTAGTAAAAATATTGCTTCCTCTTCACTCTCCTTACTTGGCATTTCTCTACATCGTCAGAGCAATTATGAGAAATACTCTGAAAAAAAACTTGAAGGAGGTTTTGTACATTCTTCACATCTCTTCTATTGCCATATGCCATGATAAGAAAATCAGAAGGAAAATGATAGTAAATACGAATGTACAAAAGTCAGATTTATTATGTACACATTTTATTAGCTCAATAAGATAAAATAATGCCTAAACTGAGCTTTTGAAAAACAGGAGAGTTGTTGAAATGCATGATAATAGTTCTTTAAATGCCAACCATGTGATAAGCATTTTGTGAAACTTTATGTACATTATTTTACTTAAACCATGGACTGTCAGTATAATTATCTCTGTTCCAAAGATGA